AGCTGTTATGTTCCTTCTCAGCTATGAGTTTGCCTTGTCTCCTGAGTACTCTGGACCTTGTATCTACTCAGGCTTCCCTTGCAGATAGGAAGTTCAGTACCAAATATAGAAGGTGCCAACAAAATATATACACATTTTAAGAAAGGAAAAGACAATATTAAAATTGTAATACTCAGGTCACCTTTGACTTCTGCAATTACAAGAGATTCGAGATATAATATACAAGATAACAAATGTTATTGGTACATATTGAGTATTACAATTTTAATACAGTTTTTTTCCTTACAATACGTATACTTTTTTGGGCACCCTCTATATGTAGCCACCTTGAAATATTAAGTGTATGATAGTATGTACTTTTGTGCTCTAACTTTATCTTGGCTTTATTTCTTTTCTTACAATTATTTCTCATATCTTCATTTCCTCATCTATTTTCTTTTTTAAAGTATATATCTTTAAAAAAATTTAATTGTTATGGGTACATAATAGTTGTATATCTTTACAAGGTCCATGTGAGGTTTTGATACAGGCATTCAGTGTGAATTATTCAAATCAGGGTAACTGGGGGGTGTCCCAGTTTATTTCTGTTAGAACTTTATCATTTATTTCTGTTAGGAACATTCCAATTATACTCTTTTAGTTATTTTACAGTACACTCTAACTTGACTTGGTTATAGTCACTTTATTATGTAAAGTGTTGGCCCTCATCCTTTTTGGAATGTGCTAGTGTATAAATTAGTAAATAAATAAGAACTATCCTAAGTATTTTAAGAAATTAACTACTCTTACTAGCTCAGCTTTGGTGTCTGCCACAGAAGTCTCCTGGCTGGTCCTGCTGCATTGTCTTTTCTCCCCATCTGTCCAGACCTCAGGCCCAGAGACATTCTTCTGTAGCCCCTTGCCTGCAAAATAGAGCCCAACAGATCAGGGTTGAGGGCCTTTCTTAGCAGTAACCACTTCCCCACCCCCATTTCCAGACCTGTTCCCTGTGGCTCCCCTCCAGTGCCTTCCCCTTCTGCAGTTCTCCTTTCTGCCTGCTCTGCCTTCACTAGTCATTTACCCTGAGCTGGAGCCCTTCTCCACTCCTTCACCTTCTCTGTTCAAAGTAAACATCCTCTGTGAAACCTTTGCCGAGCCCCTCCAGCATGGCCAACCACTTCCTGGCTGTTAACTTCCTCTGTTGGTGCTCATATCTAGGTTGCTGCTGCTAGCCCACAGACGCCTTTGTGCAAAGTAGAAAAAGACTCCCCTGCCCTTCAAGATACTTTATAGTCCTTCCAACTATTGGCAAACTGTTGTGGTAAAGATACAAATCTATGACATTTCCACCGTGAGTGATGCCTTCCTAGGCAGAGCACAATAGTGCAGTTGTACATGCTGACCCTATCTATGTTATAATTTTTTAATTGTCTGTATTCCCCTCAGGACCAAAGAGAATATATCTTCATAGTATTTTTATGTTGTCACTGTCTGATCAGAGCAGGCCCTCAGGAATCATTTGCTAAATAAAAGGAATAAAGATACAAGAGTGTACCTTACCTTGCCTTGAAAAAAGTTGGAAAGGTATGGTTGGCAAGGCCTTTTACAATGAATATTAAGGATTTGTTTTTGGCCAAGTATAGTGGCTCACACCTGTAATCCTAGCACTCAGGGAGGCCAAGGCAGGAGGATCACTTGAACTCAGAAGTGCAAGATCAGCCTGAGCAAGAGGGAGAACCCATCTCTATTTAAGATAAAAAAATTACCTGGGTGTGGTAGTGGGTACCTATAGTGCCAGCCACTTGGGAGACTGAGGCAAGAGTATTGCCTGAGCCCAGGAATTAGAGGTTCAAGTGAGGAGTGATGACACCACTGTATTCTCTAGCCTGAGTGACAGAACAAGACTCTGTCTCAAAAATAAAACAAATTCTTTGATACCAAAGTTATCAAAAGATTTTTTAAAAAAGAATATATTTTATTTATTTATATGTATATATGTTTGTGTGTGTGTGTGTGTGTGTGTGTATAAATACATATATGAATTCGGAAACTTCCTCCCCATATTTATAATATTTCTGTAATCAGATATCTTAAAGTCAGTGTAGTGTGTGGTGGTTGAGAACACAGACCCAGGAGCCAGACTTTCTGTGACTTCAAGCATGTTATGTAAACTCTCTGTGCCTCAATTTGCTCATCTGTAAAATGTGGGTTCATATTTCATGCGGTTATTATGAAGATTAAATTATTTTATGGAAGGTGCTTAGAATAATAATAGGTACATAATAGTAAGAGATGAAGTGTTAGGCATTTTCAGTGTTAATAAAGGCCATGTATAAGTTTACTATACCATTGGTTCTTTTTAACCCTGAAAAGCTGTTTTTAGTTCATAGTATACCCTTAGAGCTTACCTTGCTGGCAGCATATTTCTGTGGGTACCACCTCCTGCTAATTCGCCTACGTTTGCCCTGCGGTCAGAGCACCTGCCTGTGTACCTGCCCACACTGGTTTTCTGGTTGCTTCAACAAAAGGTACATGGTATCAGACAGGAAGCCAGAGACTTTGGTTTTAGTTCCTAATTTGGCAGAAGAGAAAGGAGGGAAAAAGTAAGGCCCTTCATAGTCAAAGCTTGTTTTAGAGTTTTAAATTTAACTTCTTGTTCAAGTGCCAGAGCTTGGATTGTTAATAAATCTTGTCTATATGAAATTAATGAAAAGATGTAAATTCATCTTGGCCAAGGGGAGATCCTAAAACTGAGTTGCTAGCCAAGAGACTAGAGGTCAGATGTGCCTCATCCTATCTCCTTCCCTTTTTGGAGGTATCCTTTGTAACTCATTAACAGGCGTATGACTATACAAGGCAAAGCTTAATCCATATCTGCAAGTCCTCAATTTACTCAGCACATCTAGGTGGGTATCCATTGACTTGTCTCTGATTCACAGACTTCCTTAACTTATAACATTCCAAACGTTAGATAAAGCTTCATTTCTGTAACCAATTACTAATCAAAGAGTCTTTAAGCCCCCCATAACATGTAAGACCCTGCTTTGAGATGTCCTACCTTTTTGAGCCAAACCAATGTATGTCTTCCATGCATCGATTTACAGTTTTCCTTCCTGAAATATGTAAAACCAAAGTCTTATCCAACCACAGTAAGTCTGTTTGCCCAAGCTTCCTGGGTGTGGCTCCAGGTTGTCAACTTTGGCTCAAAGTAAACTTCTTTAAATTATTTTACAGAGTTTGGCTTCTTTTCTGTTGACATTAGAAACTGGGGAGAATTGGGTTTGGAAACATAATTTTAATGTAAAATCTTTTCTTATTTGCAGGACAACTTTCCTTTGATGATTTTCAAAACAGTTGTGCCATGAGGTGGCAAAAGGTAATGGAATGAATGTTTCAGGGTCAAGTTCCCCATTAGAAACACCCCCCCCCCCAGGGTATTCTCAGGTTAGACTGTAGATGAAAGTCACTCCCTAAATAGTCATGAGTTTCTCCTGGTCTTTAGTGTTTGCTTGTGGCTTTATATTCACATGAAAGATGGGACGGGTGTTTTTTGTGTTGTTTCAGGATGTATTTTTTCCCTGGGTCTTAAGCTGGCTTTATAAGCAGTAACACTGTGGGAAGTTCTTCATAACTTAATCTATATGCCCCACCCTATTGAGCTCTGCTTCAAATTAAGCAAGATCTGACTAATACATTCTTTGGAGATACTCTGACCATTTTCATTATGAGAACTAAATGGCTTTTCTCAGGTCAAATTACTGTAACTGGCTTTGCACTCAACTTTGATACTCTTACATGTTATATAGTACCTGCTGACAGGCTCAGGGCAATTGCTGTGCATTCATTGGCGTTTCAATAGCTTTTTCTTAATTAAACAAAATAGTATATAAATAGATAATACAAAGATGATCTAAAATTTCACTCTCCCTAATTTGCTAAATTGATCAAAGCCCTTAATATATATAAACCTGGATTGAATGTTATTTCGCTATAAAACTGGTCAACTTTAGCCTGACCCAAAGGTATGTTTAATTATTGGTTCTCAGAAAGAATATCCACATGAGGAACTTTCTCCAAAGGATTTGTATGGATTTATTTACCTTCTGGGTTTCAGAAATGATAGGTAGACAGTTGTTCCTATCTGTGTCCTGGAAAGTGGAGAAGCAAATGGGGAAAAGAATGTGTGTACCCAGCTCCACAGGCCCAGCCAGCAGAGGAACTAACATTATTCTCAGTTTTTCTGTGTTGCAGTATCTCAGAGCCTTTTAGGTCACATCTAAGTCTTTCTTTTTTAAAGGATCACAATTAAAATCTAAGGTTAAATCTTGAAATGGGGACACGTACACTTCTGAGGTCATCTTTTCCTTTCTTTAAAATAAGCATTTCTACCTGTCCAAAATTTCTTTTAGTTTTTGGAGAAGAGAGGAATCTACCTAAATCTTACCTAGGGTTAGGTTAACCTGGTGGTCAAAACAAACTGAAAACCCATGGAAAGAATTTGATTCACAATTTTTTTATTTTTTTACGAGATATGGATGTTACTCTATCTCCCAGTGGTAGCTGGGACTACGGGTGTATGTCACCCTACCTGGTTAAGTTTTTTTCAGTTTTGTAGAGATGGGGGTCTGGAAATGTTGTCTAGGCTGTTTTCAAACTCCTAGTCTCAAGCTATCCTCCCACCTTGGCCTTCCAGGGTTCTGGGATTACAAGTGTAAAGCACCAGGCCTAGCCACCACCCCACCCCCCTTTTTTTTAGTTGGTTGTCAGCATTTAAAATCTGGACAATTTCACATAAAAACCTGATTTCTGGCACCTCTTAAAAAATTGAAAGATCCATTAAGATTTGGCCCACATGCCTACAGTTAGCAAAGCCCTGTTGAAGCTGCCCCCATGGCTGGGCCACCTAGTCCTCACTTTGTCAGTGTCTGCTCTCATTTATTTATGTGACCTGTCTGGCCTAGTGGGCATTTGAATTGTGACCCCTGTTCTGTCTTGCCCTACCCCCTAAGTCTATGTCCTTAAAGCTAGGTATTTTGTAGCTTTTCAGAAAAAAGGCCTGGTCTATCTGAGCAGTGATTAAATGGCTACCAGGAAGGAGGGGAATTGGCTCCATGGAGGCCCATGTGCTGTTCCCAGCCCCACCCCAGGCCTTCAGGGGACAGGAGTTAACGCTAGGGTGGATGTGGCGTATTGTATTTACTGAGCTGGCACCACTCCATCTGTTCATTCAGTCTGAAAGTCATAATCAAAGTTTCCTCATCCAGGGGGTGGGGCGTTTTTCAAAATATGAAAGAAAGCAGCCAGTCACTGCTCTAGCCCAGTTGTGGGCTTACAAGACTAGCTATTGCCACAAAAAGACAAGCTTCCTGTTTACTAGTTGGCCTGAGACAAAGTAGTTGTGCTTTCTGGCCATGCAGGGCTTGGCACAGGCCATGCTCTGTCTGTCAAGACTGCGGGGTTGAATGCGCGCTCTGTGCTTGGGCGGCTGAGGCGGCATGGCCCCCACAGCATGGGTCCTGGACACGGGCCACCCTCAGGAGGGTGCTCGAGTTGGCTCCACAGCCAGCCATGGCAAGCAAATGGAGGAAGTCAGCCTCTCCTCCTTGCAGGCTTCCTCCTTAGCTCGTCTTTCCTTGGGGGGCCCAATCGAGGAGAAGGCCCTTGGCACAAAACTGAATCTCACAATAAATTTGTATCTTTTGTTTGTAAGCATCCAGGAAGCAGGACGTCAATGCTTCTGGGAAAGCTGATCCTTTATAGCGCGTTGTTTAGCGGGGGCTCTGTCTTGGTGTATTACCTTATACAAAGTAAGTACTGAACCAGTTTGATGGAAGTATTTCAGATTGCATGTGAAAACCCCACACTGTACCCCAGAAGTGCATTAATGTACATAGTTACCATTCAATAAAAAAAAAAAAAAACAAAAAAAACAAAGTAAGTACTGAGCTGCCGGAGGCATGGCTGCCTCCTCGGTGCTTCCTGCAGATTGGAAAGGAGAAGAGGGCTATTTTAATAGCCAATCCACCATTTCATTGGCTGTAGCTTTCTCCTTATCCTACAATCCCAATTTTTCCAGGTACCACAAGTACATATAGGTATACCAGGATTTAGTTGCGTGAGAAGGCTTGCAGAGCAGATGGGCTTTTGCTCCAGTGCTTGCATGGGGGAATCGGTCAAGATTCTGTGAATAGAAAAAAGGAACAGAGGGAAGGGGAATACCAGGTAGTTCACAGGTGGGGAAAACTGTGGCTATTTCTCAAGTGTTTTCAGCCTTTTTTCTCTTTCACTCTTTGCTGTTGACTTACTGGAGGGGGGACCGTGAGCAGGGGACTCTGGCAAGAGTAGAAAATAAAAGCAGAGACCATAATGACAAAATCCTGACATGTGTCTTACAGCTCCACTGCACCCACATTTGAATTTGTAAAGACAGGCCACAATTACTGTCAGCAGCCAAGGCATTTAAGGTCATTTCAATGCTACTGATGACAAAGCAGCAGTTTTTTCTAGACTGACTTTTTTTCTGAGCCTCCCTTATGCCCACTCAGCTTGGCTCCTCATCCTGACTCTGCAGCATTTTCATTTCTTCCCAGGATGTGAGTGTCACCAGTGTCCTATCTATCTATATTTTACTTTCCTGCAGAGTTGGCCCAGAGTTCCTGAGTCTGGATGTGGCCAGAGATGAGCATTACCAGGAATGATTTAGCCTGGAATAACTTGGCTTCTTCTTCCCTCTGCCAAAGGGACAGGGGCAGAACGTGGCAGGAATGGGTACATTTCAGGTCTGGGTTGTGGTCTGACAGCCTTTCTCCCTTAGGCTATAGTGAGCAAACAGAGCCCATCTAGGTGGGTGACATCTGGTTCTGCAGCCATTGTCTGGGTTGAATGCCTGAATCTCAGCTCAGCTCTTGACTAGCTGTGTGGCCTTCATGGAGGAGCTTCTCACCTTCCAGGGCCTTAGTTACCTTCCCATGTACTGAGGAATACCAAAAAAGTGCCTATGCATGAGGTTGTGAGAATTAAGTGAATCTCACAGATGAATTATTGAGATACTGAGAATTGAAGATATGAGGCCTGATAGTTTGTGAACTCATCGTGGAAAAGGTGCTACATACCTCATTGTTGAGTATCACTATGGTCACCATATGGCCACGGGGGTACTTCGAAGGTGACCATAGTGATATTCAACAATGAGGTACGTAGCGCTTTTTCTAAGATGAGTTCACAAACTTCATTCTCCAAGCTTCTGTATGAAATACTGAGAATGGTGCCTAGCCATAGAGGTCATTTGGTAAAGATTAGCTGGAACCAGCTTCTGCACCTCCTTTTCCTGTCATGGCTGGCACCTTGTTCCCATCCTGGGAAGCAGCACAGGAGAGGCAGTGCCCTGGGCCACCTTTGTTATGCTCTGACCTACAGCAGGGAAGCTCTTTCTGTTGCCCAAACACCCGAGTTGGAAGGCCTGCCCCAGTCCTCTCCCTGGGGCACTTTGTTATTATATCTCATACCTTCAGGAAGGGGCTTCCCAGAGGTCCCAATAACTTTTGGGCTACAAAGTGTTCCTCAGACTAAGAGCAGTTCTTAGATCTGTAAAGTTGACAAGTGAGTTTTTTCATATCCTATTTCTTAGCATCAGGGTTTTGTTGTTAATGTTATAGTCTGTTTTAGTCCTCATCTTAGTGGAAGGAGCCATGTTTAGAAGTCCATGGATCCTGGCCCCACTTGACCTTGGACTAGCTGTGTCACTTTGAGAAGGTCATGGGATCATACAGCGTTAGAACTGAGATCAAACTTAGCAAAGAGCTGATCAAACCCCCTTAGATCTAGAAATGAGGTGAAGAAATGAGAGGAAATTGAGGCTCAGAAAGAGTCTGTGTGAAGTCAAGGCCCAAGGTCCCCGGCATATCCCTGCAGAACTGCCTTTCTGTGCTTTGGCCTCCAGTTTATAAAATGGACAATTTAGAGTAGTTGGTCCCTAATTATTCTTCCATCCGTAAATTTCACACTGTTGTTTTTGTTTCTACCTTGTGTATCTATTGTATTCTTTAACTTTCTATATAGATTCCACCTGATCAAGTTCAATTTAGAAAAAAAATCTGTCTTTCCTACTTAGAAACTTTTTCCAGGGCTTCATATTACCAGCTGGCATTGGAGCAACTGCATGGCCATCCTGAAGCACGGGAAGCTCTGGGGACGCCTCTCAATGTTCACCATCTCCAGCTCATGGACAAGTACAACTTCGTGGACATTGCTGATGCCAAGGTAATATGCTCTCCTTCTGGACTGTAGGCTAGATGCCTACTGAAGGACAGGAGGGACTGCTATCTTGGAGTCTTGGAGGTTAGGGGTTTAGAGTGCAAAACTCATTAAGTAAAACTGCCAATAAGTTTAGCATCTTTTAAAAAAGTTTTTTAAAATTATTATTATTTTATTGGCCAGATGTGGTGGCTTATGCCTATAATCCTTGTAGTCTGGGAGGCCAAGGTGAGGGGATTGCTTGAGCTCAGGAGTTCAAGAGTAGCCTGAGCAAGAGTGAGACCCTGATTCTACCAAAATAGAAAAAATAGCCGGGTATTGTGGCAGATGCCTATAGTCCCAGCTACTCAGGAGGCTGGGGCAAGTAGGTCACTTCAGCCTAAGAGTTTGAGGTTGCTGTGAGCTATGATGCCATGGTGACTCTGGCATCATACCAGAGTGACAGAGTGAGACTGTCTCAAAAAAAGTTTTTCTATTATTGTGGATTTCTATATTATATTAATATAATTTTATATAAATATAAAAAATATATTTTATATTACTGTGGATTAACTTACTTTCATATATTTTCCCTCCATCTGGGGAATTGATGTGGCAAGGAATGCACTAGATGTGCTGATGTCACCGTCTTGAAGGTAGCATAGAAATGGCCAGTGGTGCTTTGTCTCCACTCTAGCTTTGAACGTGGGAAATGTATCTGCATCCAGTTAGTGCTCATTCAAATGTAACCAGCTCTTAAGTTTTGATATTTATTTAATTACATTATTTCCATGGAATATCAGTACATTTTTTGAGCTGTACCTTATCTTTTTGTGTGATTCAGCTTTATCAAACTTACTTGAATATAAAATGTCTTTGTTCTTCTGTTTAACAAGCATGTTTAGATCTAAGTACATGCCCCAGTTCAAGGAATGATTATGAGTTATATTCCCCAAGTTATGTGCAGAATGCAGAGATGCAGAAGGCCAGAATAAGATGGAGAGGAGCAAATGCTGTCCCGGCTGTGAAGGCCTAGGAGGGAGTGGGTAGAGGCCTGGGAGACGCTGTGCAGAACTTGTGAGGCAGACAAGGAACACCAGGCTGAGGAGCAGCACTGTGACCTGTCAGTGTGACCTGGTATGGAGGCACAGTTTGGGGGGTGGGGGGGGGTGTGAGCAGGTAGGAGGGGCTGGAGCAGCCACAGAGCCCAGGCATCATCATGTAGGGTCTGTGCACTTGATCTGTGGCTGTGGAAGCTTGTGTAGTGTTTGAGGATAAGACTGAGGTGATCTGAACTCTTTATTTTTTTGTTCTTATATTTATTACCAGTATGTTTTTAGTGGCATATTTTTTCTAACTGCAGAAGTAATTCATGCTCGAATAAATTCCTGCAGAAGGTTAATTCCCACAGATTGGTGATGCCCAGGGACTGAGTGCAGGGAACTGCCCTTAGGGGAACAATGCTGCCACACCGGTGTGCAGTGGTGAGAGTGTGAACCAGAGCTGTGGCCTAGAGAAATGAGATAGATTTGAAGGCCATTGTGACAGCCAGGTGACAGGACTTGGTAACAGTTATAGAAGGAAAGGGCTGGGTCAGAGATGATGCTTCAGTCTCCAGCATGTGTGACTGGAAAGATGGCAGCTCCAGTAAGTATGAAAGAGCAGCAGGAAAAGAAAGGGGACGAGTTGGATGTGTGTGGTGTGCTTGCCCTGTGCCCGGTGGCTTTATGTGCATTGTCGTAGAATTTCTCCCATGGTTCTGTATGGTCCCTCTGTGCTTCCCCAGCTCTAATCACCTGACTGGATCCAAGAACTTGAAAAAGCCAGGGATAAGGTCAGGCTGTTCATTGTTTTCTACCAGCACAGGGCACAGGGCTCAGCATCAGTGCTGGGAGGGGAGTATTAAAGGTGCCTTTGTCAAGGTAGGTTGATGCAGTATCAGATCCACGATCTGGTGACCTGATGAGTGGGAGTGGGATGCAGCTATGGTGGTTTTGGTGGGGATCTTCATCTGATTGGGCCCAGCTTTCACTACTGGACCTCTCCTTCAGTAGCTTGATCTAGCTGGTGCTGGGAGGGCGACTTCCTGTGGTTCCCTGCAACCCAGGGCCCTTGGCAGCTTTATGTTGGCTGTGGTGCCAGGTCCTGGTCTCTACTGCTGCCAACTGCTATGACTCCAGAGTGATAGAAGTTTAAAGTCTGCTGCCTCAGACTTTGGGCTGCTGCCCCAGCTATTATCTTCCATGTGTGGGGTACTTTTGACATTCTGTCAGGGTTCTTCACTTCCTTTATAATCAGCTGTTTATAAGGATGCCTTTATACTATATACAACACATGCCATCTTGTCCCAAAGTCGTTTATTTGTAGTTCCTTTGTTTTGTCCAGAGGTAAGAAGTTTCATTTGTTCATTAGGTACTTGTCATACTGAAGGATTTTTTTCCCCCTCAAGTGTGTGGGTGAAGTAGTCAGTGACTGCCAACACTTTGGTCTGACCAGTGAAGGAACCAGCCTGTCCAGTGCTACATCTATCCCTGGAGGTGCCGCTGCTCATAGTTCAGACACTGACTCCTCAATGTGTGCTGTTCTCAGAATTCTACTTTCCTCTGCCCTTTCCTTTCCGGTTTTTTTTTTTTTTTTTTTGCAGTTTTTGGCCAGAGCTGGGTTTGAACCCGGCGTCTCCAGCATATGGGGCCAGTACCCTATTCCTTTGAACCACAGGTGCTGCCCCCTTTTCTTTTTATTTTAGAGCATCCAGAGATTCTCAGCGTATATTCTTTTGTTTAATTTATAACCTCAGAGAAGAGCTGTAGCTTGATTCAAAGAGCAGGGCCCTGAAGAATGGTTCTTGAAGCGTGACTAGGTGACTGCTTGCTCACTCAGGTTAGGGAGCCGTGTTCCAAAGCCTTTGCCTTCCTTAAAGTCTGTCACTCTGAGAAGTGCCTGCCTGATGACAGGCTTCCTTGTTACCACACTGTGTCAAGGCTCATACCTTCCTTATTTCTTGCTAAGAAACAAAAAACGTTGCATTTTTTCTAGATTGGAGCATAAACAAATACCTAGGGGCTAGCTTTGAAGCTTTCAGGCCAGCTCAGGTGTGGACCTGGCAGCACCTTGGCAGCATCGCCTGTGTGCTGAGCCCAGCCCAGGGGATGCAGAGCAAACTGAGAACTCTTGACTCTTGGGCTTTGTGTACTTCTCTCTAAAGCCTGTTCTTTCTGGGCCAAGTCAAAATATGTACCAATTTGCTGACTACAGTTCCTTCTTTTAAATAGTGCACTTTTGGGTCTTTTTTTCTATTTTATTATGAAAAATTTTGATGATATAGAAAAAAGATGTATACCATGAGCATTCATGTACTTGGTTAACATTTTGCTTTATTTTCATGAATCCATCTTATCATTTTGATGTATTACAAACTAATTTTCAAACATTGTACACTTCCCTTCTGAACACATAAGCATGTATATTACTAACTGGAGTTCAGTATTTGTTTATGGGGTTTTCCGGAGGTAAAAGGCACAAATCTGGTGTCCTGAGGAGTTTAACATCCACATCCACATCCATGCAGGTAACTCAAGCTCTTATCTAGTGGTAGACTGTTATCATCTGAGAGGTCCCTCATGCCCTACCCACTTGGTTCCCTCTCACATCTAGCTCTATCAGAGGCAATCATTTTTCTTTTTTTTTTGTTCTTTAATTTCAGATTAATATGAGGATATAAACAATTAGGTTATAGTGTTTGCTTTTGTTAGGTAAAGTCCCCGTTGTAGTTGTGCCCCTCACGCAGGAGATGTGCCATATACCGTTATATTGTGCCCATTAGGTGGGAGCACACCAGTCCCCCCACTTGAATTAAATTGAGTTTTTCTCTTGTGTGGGCATGTATTGGTTTGTCTACTGGCTTCATATTAATATTGAGTATGTTAGATACTTGCTTTTCCATTCTTGTGATACTTTACTGAAGAGAATGTTCTCCAACTCTATCCAAGTTAATACAAAAGATGTAAAGTCTCCATAGTTTATTTAGCCTGTTCTAGAACTTAACACAAATGGAATCAATCATACATTATGTACTCTTATATAAGACTCTTCCCTTCAACATGTTTTTTTGTTGTTGTTATTTGTTTTGCTTTGTTTTAGTTGAGGTAGAGTCACATTCTGTCACCTTGGGTAGAGTGCTGTGGTATCATAGCTCACAGCAACCTTAAACTCCTGAGTTCAAGTGATCCTCTTGCCTCAGCCTTCTGAGCAGCCATGACTACAGGCACCTACCACAGTACCTGACTAATTGTTTTTCTGTTTTTAGTAGGCTAATTTTTTCCCTATTTTTAGTAGAGATAGGGTCTTGCTTGTTCAAGCTGGTCTCGAACTCCTAAGCTCAAGCAATCCACCTGCCTTAAGCCTCCCAGAATGCTGGGATTACAGGTGTGAGCCACTGCAGCGGCCAGCATGTTTCTGATAGTCATCCACTTTGTTTCATGTATCAGTAGTTTGTTCCTTCTTTTGTTTTGAGACAATCTCACTCTGTTGCCCCAGGTTAGACAGCCAAGGCATCAGCCTCGCTCACAGCAACCTCAAACTCCCTAGCCTCAAGTGATCCTCTTGCCTTAGCTTCCCAGGTAGCTGGGACTATACATGCCTACCACAATGCCTGGCTAATTGTTTTTCTACTTTTAGTAGAGACAGCGTCTCCCTCTTGCTGGAACTCCTGAACTTAAGTGATTCTCATGCGTAGGCCTCCCAGTGCTAGGATTATAGATGTGAGCCATTGTACCTGGCCTGTTTGTTGCTTTTTTAAACAGTGGATTTTTGAATTGTAAGCACCTAGAGCATAGGTTCTCTTTGCCAAACAGAAGGACTGCCATTGACCTCACCTAAACATTGAAAGAGGGGCAGGACATTTGGAAATCAAGTGGATTCTAACAGCTAGGCTGTTACCAAAAAACCGATTCTGTGAATGATCACTAGATTTTATAGGCTTGGCCCTAAAGAGCATCAGTTTTATTATCTTCTGAGATGACAATAATGTTTCTGTCATTTTATACCCACAGTTGAAGATTCCTGTCTCTGGATCTAAGTCAGAGGGCTATCTCTATGTCAGTTCCTCCAGAGCTGCTCCCTTTCAGAGGTATTATGGGACAGTGATGGGAGTGGGGGAGCAGCAGACTTCCTAACGGAAACAGTCCTGATTCCCATTTTCATCTGCAGTTAAATGATTGTGGTAATAAGAAGAATTAGTTTTCAAAGCTTGGCACCGAAAGCTTCATGGCCTGGCAGCAAGCCAGTACTTTGGCTCTTACCTAAATTCAGACAGTTTATCCAGTATGGTCTACTGAATTGTCTTTAAGGTTATAGTGGTCTTGGTCTACAATAATTTGATGCCATGTTACATTTTCTGATTACAAATGAATAAAGGCATGGGTTCTCATTCCGAAATTATTCATCACATTTTTTACATAAGCTCTCCACCCCCATTAATTGGCTTTTCTTGTCTGGTTGCCAATAGCTACATGTGCTCACTTCCCTTGGGAAGCCTTTCTCAGAGATGGTTGCTGTTTAGCCAGGCTGGGTTTTAATTCCGGAGGGCAAAAGGAGCAGGCGGCCCTGCGGCAACCCCCACCTAGCTCGCCCGGCTCATTGACCTCTGAGCCTGGGATTAGTGGAGGAGCTGGCTGGATTCCAGCCTAGGAACTGAAAATCAATGTGAATTAGAGAATGGGAAATAAAGTGCTGCTTCTTCCTGGTGTCCCTTCCATTTGCTTGAGTCCGGCATGGGTAAGCCTACCTTGAAGACTGGTTAAATAATAAGAGTCTGTAACAGAATGCTGACATTACATTCACATAGCACTAACATAAAGCAATGTTTAAAAACATGTAAGAGATTATTTCAAACATCTGTTTCCCCCCTTCCTTTTGACCATATCTTTTGCTTCAGTGTTTTGTTGATCAGAGAAATACTATACTTTTGGTTTCTCTCAGGTGGCACCTGAACGAGGTCTTCTTAGAGCTCAAGGATGGTCAGAAGGTTCCTGTGTTCAAGCTTAGAGGGGAGAATGATGATGAAGTAAAAAAGGACTAGAGGTGATCAAAAGACCCAGCTTGCTTCCAGAGTGCCCTTCCCTTTTCTGCACTGTGTGCCCACGCAGGGTGACAGCGCATCTGAGTGACAGACACTTCTGCCGCCAGTTTTCCGGCCACCAGTGGGATGCTTGTATGTGCTGGCATATGGTTACTTTTGGTATAATTCTAACTCGAACACAATGAACACTGTTGTGGTTTTTAAATTGAATCAGAAACTTCAAGCTTATAAGAATTTATTTGAAAGTACTGTGTATAAAAAAGCAAAGCATGGGATAAAAGGAATCAGAATTAATAAAATGTTTGTTGATTTTTGCTAGTTGTCTTTCTTTTCTTTTCGTCTTCCCTGCCCTTCCCCCTATAATTTTCAGCTCCATTAATATAAAGATTAAGGATGTTGATAGTGGAGTGCTGAGGAAGACTGGCACTGTTGTTTTGTCCACTTTGCTCTGAATTCATTTTGTTAAGTAGCTTGTGGGCATCCTCAGTCACTTGGGAATATTTTATTTTCTGTGTTGTTTTTGTTTTATTTTCATATTTCTGTTTCATTGCCCAATTGAAGATTTGCAAAATACAATAGAACCTCCTTATCATGGCCAGCTTGTTACTGTCTCTTGATTAGTCAACTAACAGAGGTACTGATGTAGTTGCTTTTATTCCAGTTTGAAAACTTAGAAAATACATATTTTTATGTATACACATATAAAACCAATGTAGGAGGGTTCATTTAAAGCTAACAGATACTTCTCCTTCTGCTTTCCAAACAGTTTAACCACATGTTAGGGAATCATATCTTTAGTTTTGATTAGTTTTATAAAGAACCATTATGAAGCAAAAGATGTTCCTTCCGTGCACCAGAGCCTACAAAAACAGAAATTTGGTGTCTGTGCTTTGAAATGGCCAGTTTATAATAAGGCTGGGCATGGTGGCTCACGCCTGTAACCCTAGCACTTTGGGTGGCTAAGGCGGGAGGATCTCTTTAGGTCAGGAGTTCGAGGCTAGCCTAAATAACATAGCAAGACTCCATTTCTACAAAAAAATAGAAAAATTATCTGGGCATGATGGTGTGCACTTACAGTCCCAGGTATTTGGGAGCCTCAGGCAAGAGGATTGCTTGAGCCGAGGAGTTGTAGATTGCAGTAAGCCATGATGACACCACTGCCCTCCAGCCTGGGCAACAGAGTAAGACTGTTTCAAAAAAAAAAAAAAAGATAAAAAGACCAGTTTAACCTTCTTAGTATTACTAAGCTTAATGTAATTGTATTTTGTCTACAATGAAGGATATTCATGAGCTCTTTTCCTATGTTTTTTTTTTTTTTTTTTTTTTGCTAACCCTCGGGTTCTCTTTCTCTACATTCCTGATATTCATTGAAGAGAAGTCTCTCAGAGAAAAAAAAATAAGCTTAAATATGAGGCTTTCAGTTATTGGATATTATTTTGTAGTTTTTCCTTTATTATTTATTTTTGAGACAGAGTGTCACCCTGTTGCCCAGGCTGGCATACAGTGGCATTATCATAGCTCACTGCAACCCTCAAATCCTGGGCTCAAGTGATCATTCTGCCTCAGCCTCTTGAGTAGCTGAGACTACAGGTGTCTACTACCACACCCAGCTAATTTTTTTCTATTTTTAGTAGAGATGAGGTCTCTCTCTTGCTCAGGCTGCTCTCAAATTCCTAACCTCAAGTGATCCTCTTGCCTTGGACTTTCAGAGGGCTAGGATTATAGGCATGAGCCACCATACCCACCCTGGAGTTTGTTTCCTTAAAAAATATATTTACATGTTCTTTGAATGGATTAGAAAGTGAAAAATAAGTCTTCCCCTGAGAGCAGTTTACCATTTCGTTTATAAATATAATCTCTATAGTCTTTTCAAATCAACAGTGAACACTGTGCACACAGTGTTGTGCTGCTTCATTCCTTCTGTTGTGTCTATGTTGTCAGTTTATGTATTGCTTCGTATCTCTGACAACTTTTACTTCCTTTCAGTGTTTGCCAGAGTTTTTTGTCTGTTTCTTTGCTATGGCCAAATCATAGAAAACAGGGCCATCTGTTCTGAATGTAAAAACAAGTAACAGTTTTTGTTTATGTGGAGTTTGAATTAATGACAGGGGATAATATGTAGGTGAAGCTCATTGATCTCTATTTGAAAGCCACTGTCTTGGGCAGTTTCTGTAGTTTATTCCCATGTGTGTACTTAATGACTTCATGAATGATTCGGAAGAGGCTGGAACCTGGTTATTGCAGCAGACTTTGTCTTTCCTGTTCTCTAAGGAGAGCAATCATGTGTACTTGCAGCCCACTATTTCCTGTATATCTAGTAATAGCTGTGATTCAGCCACTGACTCCCATTAACTCCCTCCATGACATCTTGGCTAATGCACATTGTAATCAGAGGAAAAGGTGACGTTTTGCCACAAGCAGAGTTTGAGCAAGTGCCCTCAGCACATCCCATAAAGAGACAGGACAGCCAGATACTCAAGGAAGAGCTTTAGTAGAATTGTAATAACCATGTATCTGTAAAGACTACAGAAGAGAGATCACAACCAGCAGGTTGGAGCCTGGCTTCCATGGGCTTTACTGCGGAAGATGCTGCAAGGCCTTCGGCTGCAGGTTGCTTACCAGCTTGTGTGCTGGGTGGATGGTTAGGGGCTTACAGGGAGTTACAGGGCATTATAACACTGTGCCCAGATTGTTTCAAGCAGTGATGCTAAATGATGCAGAAAAGAGAGAGATCTGGAGGAATCAAAGAGGCTATTTCTGGAGGCAGTGGGGTCTCCTTGGGCCTTGAAGTCTAAGGTTTTGACATGAGGTGAAAGGAAGAACATGAGGGGACGGACATGAGCTGTGTCCCAGAAAGAAGACATCCAATTTGGCCAGAGTATAGGGTAGCTGTACATAAAGTAAAAGAAAGGCCTGGAAAGGTACATTGGCTATAGTGTGAATGCCACTGTTAACATTTTACATGTAGTCTGTGGCCAGAGATTTTTTTCTTTTTTTGTTTGGGAGTTATTAAGGGTACAGAGAATTAGGTTACATTGATAGCATTTGTTAGATAAAGTCCCTCTTATAATTCTGTCCTGCACCCAAGAGGTGTACCATATACTATGACTCCCAACCTCCTCCCTCCTCCCCTCTCCTCACTTCCTCATTCCCCTACCCCTCACCAAGCAGATCATCTACTTCCTTCATATTAGAATTTAGTATATTGGATTCTTACTTCTCCAGTCTTGGGATGCTTTACGAAGAAGAATGTGTTCCGACTCAATCCAGGTTAATACAAAAGATGTGAAGTCTCCATCTTTTTTAATGGCTGAATAATATCACATGGTATACACATACCACAGTTTGTTAATCCGTTCCTCGGTTGGTGAGCATTTAGGTTGTTTTCACATCTTGGCAACTGCAAATTGAGCTGTGATAAACAGTCTAGTGTAACTGTCCTTATGATAAAATGATCTTTCTTCTTCTGGGTAGATGCCTAGTAATGGGATTGCAGGATCAAATGGAAGGTCTAATTTGAGTTCTTTAAGGATTCTCCATATTTCTTTCCAAAAAGGTTGTATTAGTTTGCAGTCCCACCAGCAGTGTAAAAGTGTCCCTTCTTTCCATATCCATGTGTGACCAGAGATTTTGAAGTACGTGATACTATTGTTAATGAAGTTTTCAAAGACTGTGCTGAAAACTTGTGTTCAGAGACATAACTATAATATTCATCTTTTAGCTCTAGCTACCATGTTATTGTCAGTGCAGTCTTAATGAGAAAGTAATCTTTAACTTTCAAATTATTTCTGTGAAGCAAGAAACTACAGACCAGAAAGAAACTATAGAACAATCTCCCTTATGAAAGTTGGTGCAAAGACCTATATAACTTTCAAATCAAAAATTTTACTGTCATTTGTTTCATTTTTCTAGAATTAGCTTCCTCTTGCTTCTAAACATTCCCTATTCACCAATCCAGGGATTTCATAATACCTTATGACTATGGTTCCTGGGGCTGCAGACCTGTACTGTTGGTGGCCTGTTAGGAAACAGGTCCCACAGCATCACCTCCATCCCATGTAGAAAAATCGTCTTCCTTGAAACCTGGTACCAAAAAGGTGGAAGACTGCTGCCTTATGAGACAAAGTTTTATTATTCTGTTTTGGTAAAATTGCATATGGCAACCATGAAGCTGAAATAAGTCACATATGCGTGAAATAGCCAGAACTTGACAGATAGTGGAAAGGGGCCAGGGAAATGCCTGAAAAGGCAGCAACTCTAACAAGAAGCTTTGGAAGTGGCCTTAGGCCACCGAGTATTTGGTGTTTTCAGTTCATCCATATGAAAAATATGAATAAATATTTACCAGTCATCTGCATTATAGGTGAGGCAGTGTTTACAGTTCTTGTTAGGATGCTTGGGCAAAAGATGCTGTTTACACAGGCTGCTTGATGACAGGAGGGGTCCAGGAGTTGGGAGGGCGATAGGAAAAGCTCCAGGCCCCACCCATGAGAAGATACTGTCTTCCAGGTAACTCACCTGCAGTCCAGGCATGCCTGCTGGGCAACTTCAGGAATGTGTTTAGAAAACCTGTGCCCTTCTACAATCCCAGGTAGAAAAGTGGTGAATGAAAATACTAAAAATATGCCTCTAAAACACAGATTGGGTGCAGGTAAATGAAATTTGACTTTTTAAGAGAGTATAATTTTCATTCCTAAATTATCTTTAAACGTTTTCCTGAAAGGATTTTTTTTCTTTTTGAAGGGAAATATTTGAATTGATATTTCAGATCACATGCAGTGTAATATTAAAAGCCTATTGTTATTATACATTACCGTAATACTTATCTTTTAACTTTGGCTACCATGTGTCAGTCACCTTGCAGTCTTAATGAGAAAGTAATCTCTTAACTTACAAATTATTTCTGTGAAATATAGAAATATATTTTTGGTTTATGAAATTAAAGACCAAAAAAAAGTATAGAACAATCTCCCCTGTAAAAGTTGATACACAAATTTCTAAATAAAATTTTAGCAAAGTGAATCCAGTGACATATAGTGACATGATGTATTATTTTTCACAAAATAGTTTAGTGCCTCTCCCTTGCAGAGCTCCTCCCTATTGGAGGATTATACGCCCCTGCCTTCTTGAACTTAGGTGTGACCAGGTGATTTGTTTTGTGAGTGGAAGTGACATGCAAGACTTCTGAGTAAAAGCTTTAAGTACTAGCCCTTGGTTCACTGTGTTGTCTTTAACTTCTTCCCTAAGACTGGTTATGTTCCAGATGGCACCTACTTCCAGGGCTTGGGTTCTGGAACACCTGGCCCATAGTGGG